CATGAAACTCTATATTTCCTGCACCTCCAGAAGCTGACACAACCTGCCTCATAAGAACCCCCTTTCCTTCTCTAAGGAAAGTTAACCTTGCCTGAAACAATGTTGTCTTTTCTTTTGCTAATAGGCTTGTCCCACCCAATTTCTGCCTATAAAGGCCTTCCATATCCTATAGCTTCTTGGAGTACCTCTCTACTTGCCAGATTGGATGCTGCTTGATTCACCAATTGCTCAATACAGTTCGATCTTCACATTTACTCTATAGAGAGTTTTTGGTCTTTAACACGTTTAAAAGTTTGACTTCTTTTTTAGATGACATTCAAAAGTCCCAGATAAGTAATACTACATACCTGAAGTATTGGTTAGGTAGAATAATTCCTGGAGTGGAACAGTGGCAGTATTTTCTGTACACATTTCTCTTTAATATCTACTTCTGCCAGTCACAGTCACTCTGAGTATAAGTATTTCCCTCTTTGAGGGCTTTTCTTCGGAATTTCTTGGCTTTAAACACTGACCTATTTCATAGTTCTCATGACTAGGTAAATTATAATATAAAGTTAATTTTCTATTTTATGGTGGAAAAAACCCACTGAACACAGCCAAATCTACATGCTGGTGTGCAGTGTCACAATAATTGGATTTTAGTGAATACTGCACTACACATTAATCTGTTAGTTAACAGAGATATTCAGGGCTACACCTTCAGAATGCAACAGGTGAAATTCAGTCTTTCAAAAGGCAAAGGATAACTCTAAGTGCTGGGTTCAAAGGATTTATGAGTTCATTACACATAGCAATAGGCATTTAATATTAATATAAAAAATGAAGTCTTTATAAATTAAATGGTGGTAATACCATTTATGGTATCACCTGGTTAGTTAAGTGCTTCTGTTTGTTTTAATGTACTTGTATCCAGGTATTGCTGGTCATGGAAATGGTGGCAACTAGAAAGAGGGATTGGAGAAAGATGCACGTGCCTATGTGTGCATTCACAGAGTCATTTTTTCAAACTCAGGTTTCCATAACTGCAGACTTGCTCTTTATGTCTTAGTGGAATGTGATGGAGCTGAAACAGGAATTTGAAAGTGATATGGCAAACAAAAATGAAATGCATTTGAAAAGACCATATTTTCTTATGTTATCCTGGAAAAGTTTTGTTTTAACAAAACTTTTATTTAAAAGAAAGAATATTCCTACCCCCAAGAGCAAAACAGCCAAAACAATACCCTTTACTCCTGATTATTAGAACAAATATATGTTTTTATGGGATCTTTTAACTTTGGGTAAAACTTTATTAAGTGTGTTTCTTCTGCTTCTATGCATATCAGCAGGATCATAAAAGGTACTTAGGTGCCCCAGGGGATGTTGATTGTTTGGCTTAATTTAAAGGCAACATTTTGAGAGACCAAGAGCATTTTTCTTTTACACTGTAGTTTCATGTACATTCCAGGGCTAAAAGGCTCCATTTTGGGGCTTTGGCTTTCTTTTCAACAATGAGTTATGGAAACGTGAAAAAGTCACACATTTTGACATAGGAAGACACTTATGGATGGGGCAATTTCAATTGATTAGGATAGTTTCTATTTTCCATTCAAAAACTGTTGAAAAGCATGTCAGATTTGGATTTTGGCAATGAATGGCAACCATTACAGGCATACCATATGGAACAAAAGCTTTGGGGGTATTAAAAAAGAAATTATATTTTTGTAAAACAAAAAATGGTCATAACTTTAAAAAATACAATCACAGATTAACATGTGAATATCACAAGTACAAATGTATTTCATTTTTATTACATATCTCTTTCACTACTTACGAGCACATAATTTTGTAACTAGCAGAGCTCCACACAGGCAATTTAAAGTAAAAAATAAATGTAGTCCTGCTTTTTGGGCTTAGTGCGGTGTAGGGAAGGGAAGCACAGAAAAAGCAACAATATATCATAGCTCTGACACAGGATTACATGGGTTGTTGAGGACGCATTTCTACTCCACAGCGTAAGAGAATGGTGATGTGAATTTTTGACAGATTGATGGGGGGGGGGGATGTTTAGAGAAACCTAAAGGCAACATGTTGATTTGACAGACTTGTATCAAAACTCTGCAAAAAGTTACAGTCGTTTATGCTTTAACAAGCTACTGAAATAGGATTGTATGTATCTGTCAAGCTGTGAAAGTTAATCAGGTCTAATCATAAATGTTCAGCCCTGGCCACGTAGTTCAGCTGGTTAGTGTCTGTCCCAGTACAGAGGTGCAGGTTTCATCTCCAGTAAGGGCAAATATAAGAATCAACCAATGAATGCATTAATATGTGGAACAACACATATTAATGTGTTGAGAGAGAAATCAATGTTTCTCTCTCTCCCTTTCTTCCCCTCTCTCTCTAAAACCAGTAAATGAAAACAAAAAGTTTAGTTCCTAAACTTTTCTAATTTCTTTCTAGGGTTTGCCATATTACATTGTTGTTTTTTAATCAAGAAATACATTTTCGCTTCATGGTAAAAAAGTGTTTAGAGCTACGTTTTAACATGTTAAAGCCAGGGAAGTAACTTCCAGTAAATTGCCTCTAATCAAAATGCAACATTTCCTCTGTTAGAACTAAAACAGTCTCAAGCAGGTTTTTAAACTAGAATGGCCATGGCTCTTTCCTTTTCTAGGTGTTCTTCACTTACTATTGCACTCGTGCTGCTACCTGAATAAGCAAATTTTACTTTTAAGTAAAATCTGTGGGGGTTGCAGCCTGGACAATGAAACGAAAAGACATCCCTGCTGGAGATAAAGCTCCACCTGTTGAGGTTAGCTAGTTTACCGAGCCTTTTGCTTCTTTGCTCCAGGTAAGGGTGGATGGCAAGCACTCGTCTCTAAGAATCCCCCACAGGAGCTTAGGCAATTTATCTTGCAAACGACTGCAATATCTGCCAGGCTGGCAGGCCCTGCCAGTCAAGGGTGAGGGGACCGCCAGGCAGCCACGACTGCATAGCACAAAAGACAGCACCTCTTGTGAGGAGCCACCAGCCTTCTGTGGACCCTGCAGCTCGGGCGCAGGGCATCACCTTCCGAGGGGATAAGGGCGGCGTGGCCTGGGGAGAACCCAGGTGCACAAAAGAGAGGAAGGCTCCCCCCTGCGCGAAGGAAGAAAGCCTGACTCATGTCATGGCAGTGGCGGTGGCGGCAGCAGCTGCGGGCTCCTGGGAACCGAAACTCGTGATGCCATTGCTGCGGAGAAAAGCCTCATTATCTATTCCGCAGGGGCGGGGGGAACTCCACCCAGGGCGCGTACACCCGATACCTAGGGCTCCAACAACCTCCTGGCCACGCTCCCTTCGCTCCCGCGTGCGCGTGCTCACGAGGGCCGCGAGTGGAAAAAGAGCAGACACACCTAACCTGCGCGCGCCCCTCATCCTGCCCCACCCCCACTCAGGCAGAGTCTCAGAGACCGACCCACATTTGCTCCCCCAGCCGAAATTTCCTAACCACCCAACCCACGGCTTCGGTGCCTCCGCCAGCCTTCGGCTACTTCCGTCCGGACACCGGGCTCCCACGGAGGTCCGAACACCCGTTGTCTCCTTTGCCTGATCCGGCTTTTTGTCCGCGGCGCCTGGGCGCATGCGCAGACGCCATCTTCCCTCTTTCCCTTCGGCCGGCCCTCTCCCCCTTGCTGCTGCCACCGCCTTCTCCTGCCGACTCGCCCCTCCTCCTCCTGCGCTCCGGCTCTGGTCCCTCCCCTCCCGATGCCGCGAGAGAGAGACCGGGTGTACCGTGAAGCGGGAGAAGAACACTAGTAACAACCCCCTCAGCACCGTCCCCGCCCGCTGCCCTTCTCCGGCACTCACCCGCCCGGTTGGCCAACACCAACCAACCCCACCTCTCGTTCTTTGAACGGCATCGGCTGCAGTCGCTGCACCAGCACGTCTGGCCACCAACACCGCCGAGAAAAGAGCAGCTACCGCTTGTGGCCCTCTCCCACCCGGGCCGCGGGAGCAGCGGGGTGAGGACGGTCTGGCTGCGGAGGAAGAGGCCAGGAGTGGCCCTCACCCTCCACTCTAGCGCACGTCCCGCCGCCCTTCGGAAAGGCTCCAGCGCCAGCCCCTTACTCCCCGAGGACTGTGCCGAGCCGAGGCCCCTGCCTGAGGGAGGAAAATGCTCGGGCTCCATGGCTGCCAGTGATGGAGCGGTCCCTGGGCTCCCGCTGCCACTGCTGCCGCACCCTGGCCGTACTCCGCGAGGACCCGGCGTCTCTGCGTACCCGCCCGCGCCTCGTTGCTGGGCTCACCATACCGGGCGTCCCGCCGCTGCCGCCGCCCTGCTTGGAGCCTCATCATCCCGGCCCCAGTCTTGGCCAGCGTTTCCTCCCGGAGCAGCCACCGCGAGCCCAGGGGGTTTGAAAGGGTCCGCCGGGTGTGGGGGGAGGGCCGAGCGGGGACCCCAGGGTCGAGAGGGGAGGTTTGAGCGACACTGATCTCAGGGTTCACCGGCTGCGGCAGCGGAGCTGGGGGTGGCAAGGGGAAGGCGACAATCGCTTTGCACTGCCTTCGCGCAGAGCGACCAGGAGGGTTTTGCAGCAGCCACTGTCGCCAGAGCGGCAGGAGGAGGGTTTGAGGTGGCCTCTGAGTAGTCCGGAGAAGGTGGGCATTTCTTGTTTTTTTCCCCCAGCCCTCTCCTGGTCTCCTCCCTCCGCTTGTCTACCCCTCCCTACCACTCCACACCCCACGTGAAACAGAATATAAAGGGGGGTGTGATATTAGAGGGGAAAGTGAATGGTGAAGGACTGAAGGGGTCTTCCCCTTTGGGTCTCCGGCCGCCCTGTTCACCATCATTCATCCTCCCTTCCCGAAGCTCGCTTTCGAAGGCAGGAGCTGCCGGCGCCTTAGGCTGAAGAGGAGGAGGAGGAGAAAGAGGGATCGCTCCGGTTCGAGCATCGGGTCTGGTTTTCCTCCCGGTGTCTTGAATACAAAGATTACCCTGCTGAAGGAAATTGGCACTCGTCTCCTCCGCCCCCCGTATCCAACACAATGCACCAGCCGCCTGAGTCCACCGCGGCCGCTGCCGCTGCCGCTGCAGACATTAATGCTAGGAAGATGGCGCACCCGGCGATATTTCCAAGAAGAGGCAGCGGCGGTGGCAGCGCCTCTGCTCTCAATGCAGCAGGTACCAGCGTTGTTAGTAATGCCCCATCTTCAGAGGATCTTCCACCTCCGTCGTTGCTTCAGCCGCCACCTCCTGCAGCATCTTGTACGTCGGGACCACAGCCTCCGCCTCCACAAAGCCTGAACCTCCTTTCGCAGGCTCAGTTGCAGACACAGCCTCTCCCACCAGGCGGAACTCAAATGAAAAAGAAAAGTGGCTTTCAGATAACTAGCGTTACCCCTGCCCAGATCTCCGCCAGCATCAGTTCTAACAACAGTATAGCAGAGGACACTGAGAGCTATGATGATCTGGATGAGTCTCACACAGAAGATCTTTCGTCTTCTGAGATCCTTGATGTATCACTTTCCAGGGCTACTGACTTAGGGGAACCTGAACGCAGCTCCTCAGAAGAGACGCTTAATAACTTCCAGGAAGCTGAGACACCTGGGGCAGTCTCTCCCAACCAGCCTCACCTTCCACAGCCTCATTTGCCTCACCTTCCACAACAGAATGTTGTGATTAATGGGAATGCTCATCCACACCACCTCCATCACCACCATCACATTCATCATGGGCACCACCTCCACCATGGGCACCACCACCCATCCCATGCTGGTGTGGCCAGTACATCCATTCCTGGAGGGCCACCCTCAAGCCCAATATCCAGAAAACTCTCTACAACTGGAAGCTCTGACAGTGTTATAGCAGCTGCACCAACTTCTGCTGCATCATCCGGTGGCTCACCTGCATCTGTAATGATTAATATCCGTACTCCCAGTACTACCAGCAGTATAGGAGTAAATTCTGTTACTGGCACTAATACGGTGGATAATATTACCATTACTGCTGTGGGTAGTTTTAATCCTAATGTGACAAGCAACGTGCTTGGTAATACTAATATGACCCCAAGCAATATTCCTAATGCTGCTAGTGTGAGTGTTGGGCTTGGAGTTAACAGCAGTGTTAATGTGAATATCTTGAGTGGCATGGGCAATGGTACCATTTCTTCCTCTGCTGTTGTTAACAGTGTACCTAATGCAGCTGCAGGGATGGCTGTGGGATCAGTTTCAAGTCAGCAACAACAGCCAACAATTAACACTTCAAGGTTCAGAGTTGTGAAGTTAGATTCTAGTTCTGAACCCTTTAAAAAAGGTAGGTGGACTTGCACTGAGTTCTATGAAAAAGAGAATGCTGTACCTGTTACAGAAAGTGTGGTGATAAATAAATTGGTGGAAACTGTAAAACTAAACCCAATAGAAGTGACTTCTGAAAGGGAGAGCACTAGTGGGAGTTCAGTGAGCAGTAGTGTCAGCACACTGAGTCACTACACAGAGAGTGTGGGAAGTGGAGAGATGGGAGCCCCTACTGTGGTGGTGCAGCAACAGCAGCAGCAGCAGCAGCAGCAGCAACAACCAGCTCTTCAAGGTTTGGCCCTTCAGCAGATGGATTTCAGTAGCACTGGCCCGCAGAGTATTTCAGCAGCAAGTATACCACAGAGTGTTTCTCAGTCACAGATCTCACAAGTACAATTACAGTCTCAAGAACTGAGCTATCAGCAAAAGCAAGGTGTTCAACCAGTACCTCTGCAAGCTGCTATCAATGCTGTGACTGGTATCCAGCCATCACCTGTTAATGTGGTTGGTATAACTTCAGCTTTAGGTCAGCAGCCTTCCATTTCTGGTGTGGCTCAGCCCCAACTGCCATATTCTCAGACGGCTCCTCCTGTGCAAGCTCCCCTTCCAGGGGCACCATCCCAACAGTTACAATACGGACAACAATCAACTGTTCCCACACAGATGGCTCCAGGTCACAGTAAACCACTAACTCAAATTCCTACTTCTGAGTTTGTACAGCAGCAGCCAAGCCTTCAGAAAGCAGTGTCCTCTGGTCAGCCCAGTTCAGCAGTGGGAGCAGGAACAACGGTGATTCCTATGGCTCAGCCACAGAGTATCCAGCTGCCAGTGCAGTCTGTGGCAGTCCAACCACAACCTGTAGGGACATCTGGCCAGCCTGTTGGCCAGGCTCAAATAGCAGTATCTGCTGTACCTACTGGCAGTCAAATTGCAAATATTAATCAACAAGCAAATGTACCCACTGCAGTGCAGCAGCCTTCGTCCCAAGTCACACCTGCAGTTATTCAGCAAGGTGCTCCTCCATCTTCACAAATAGTTCCACCTGCTCAGACTGCGATTCTTCATCAGGGAGTTCAAACTAGTGCTTCAAGCCTTCCTCAACAACTGGTCATTGCACCCCAAAGTACCTTGTTAACTGTGCCTCCCCAGCCACAAGGAGTAGAATCAGTAGCTCAAGGAGTTGTTTCACAGCAGTTGCCTGCAGTTAGTCCTGTACCCTCTGCCAGTAGTATTTCTGTTATAAATCAGGTTAGTTCAGCTGGTCCTTCTGGAATATCTTCTGCCCCAACAAACGTGGTTCCACCACAGAATATAGCACAAACCCCTGCCACTCAAAATGGTAACGTGGTTCAAAGTGTTAGTCAACCTCCCTCTATAGCAGCTAATATAAATTTGCCTTTGGCACAACAGATATCACTAAGTTCTCAGTTCTCTGCACAATCATTAGCTCAGGCAATTGGAAGCCAAGTTGAAGATGCCAGGCGCCCTGCGGAACCCTCCTTAGTTGGCTTACCTCAGACTATCAGTGGTGACAGTGGGGGAATATCAGCAGTTTCAGATGGGAGTAGCAACAGCCTAGCAGCCTCTGCTTCTCTTTTCCCGTTGAAGGTGCTACCGCTGGTGGATGGCGAGGATGAGAGGTAAGATCATGCCATATATCAGACATTCAACAGATTCAGAGTTTATTTAGTAGCTATATATGTAAATGGTATAAATGATATGTACGTATTTGACAAAATAGTTACTAAGCATTAAGAGTAGGGTTGGGAGCACTAAGTGGTTTTTATTACTTATAAAATGCTTTTTAAAAAAGATGAAGGGAAAGTTAACTTTTAACCCATATAATAGTTAATCTGTTCTTTTGAATGGGTAAAATCCTTATGATAATCTCCTGGGAGGGATAATGGTTCCCACATTTGTTTTTCCTTGACTGGACAGTCCTTTTCAGTTCTACTGTGTTTGATCTTAGTGTGTGAAAGATACTGTTACCTGCTTTTCCTAGTCAGACATTATAAGATAGATGTCCTAATCCGGGTTATATAGTTTTCCCTCATACTGTAATTAACCAACTTTTGTGTACCTATTTAATCATCATTTTATGTGAACAGTAAAGGAGGAATGGGAATCTTAAGGGATTATTTTTGTGGGGGGTGGGTGGACACTGTCAAAATAACCAGATTTGTTTTTGATGGTAATAAGCTACTGTACATTTTTATTTTTGCATAGTAGATCAAGGTGGTAGCCATTTTAAAAGAGTGAAGAAAGTACTGTATTTTGTCGTGTATAATGCACACCTTTTTGCCCGAAATTTTCAGGGAAAAATAAAGATGCACATTATACATGTGTGTAATGATTATATACCATGGGTATAATAATGGGTACAATTATCCCATGTATAATGCACACAAAACCGTGGGTGCACATTACACATGGGAGCACATTATACATGGCAAAATACATAAGTCTTGGTGGGTTGAATTTGTAGAGACATGAAAATAAGAGTTTGTTCCCTTCTTTACTTATCAAAAAGTCCAATAAAGCCTAAAATACATTATTAAACTAGTGTTTTCTTAACTGAATTGGAAATAATGTGCTAATCACACTTATAGAATCAAATTGTCTTTGAAGCTGACTGGCTAGAAAAGCTGTAATATATCTCATGATTCTACATTGCTTTAAATAAGTTGACTTTAAAGGAATGTTTTAACAAATTTGCCAGTCTGACTGACCTTGATCAAAATAATATAGGAGTTATGGAACTGAGGAACTTTGAGAAGCTTGAAAGCTATTTAATTATTTTAGTGTTAGTTGGAGATTTTTGTGATTAAACTTTTAAAAATCAATAGGCACATTTATACTCTGAATGTATATTTGTGGTTTTCACTTTGGAAAAATTAAGCATATTTCAAAAGGATTGCCATTTTAGTAAAAGAAAACGACCAAATGTTTCAGTAAGGTTTTCATGATTTTTTTAGTTACTTAAAAGATGGTAAAAGACATGGTTTATTGAAAGAATTTAAAATCTTGTTTTTCAAGGTTTTTATTATTTTTCTATTGGCCATATAATGAAAATCTTGTTACCTAACCAAATGTATTCTGTGCTAGGTACTTTAAACTGTACTTTAAAGGTAGACCTTTTGTAGGAGGTAGTTTCATTAATAGTCTATTATGATTATTGTTAAACCTTTAATTTTATCATATCATGCTGATATTCATCTGTAATTGCTAATATCCAGCTATAATTTTATAGATTATCACCCCAAATATTAATGTTTTCTAAATCTAAAGGGTGTAATCTGGGTGAAGTCCTTATAAAAACAGGTATATTGTATGGGTAGTAAATTTAGAGAAATGAAAGACTGGTGAAATATATAAATGAAAACTGAACATTTTGACTTCAGACCTGCCATGATTTTTGTTAATTACCATGTGGTTTCCTGGCATGACTTGCTGTTTTTTTCCTTCTGGTGGTAGGGTGTGATAGAATGTTCCACATCTTGCTTTTCCAGACAAAGTCAGATGTTGGTACCTTCAACCAGGTTTTTGACTGTAGGGATAAAGTCCCAGTTTAAGATATTAGTACAAAAATAATTTTTCCACATAGTGATGGAGATGAAGATTAATGAGGGACAAATTAGGTAGAAAGGTTTGGAATTGAAGGGACAAAAAGATATTGAGCAATATGAGTAAATACTGGTATTAAGTAACTTAACTATACCTTTTTTCAGTTTACTACATATTTGAGCCTTTGTTAAGTTAACATAAAAGTTAAGGCATCAAATCTTGAAAATTTTTGTTTCAGAGTTATCCTTTAAATTCTGAAAAATAAAAATATTTCATCCCCCAAATACCTGTAAAGGTCAGAAAAGCTAAATATGTATATTATTTTTTCTTTATTTTGTTTTATTGCAGATTATTTCTTTTGTTACTATAGTTTGGAAAAAAATGTTTTATTTAAATTCTCCCTTGAAAGGGGTCTTGAGAATATCTGCAAGAGAAAAAAACGATAATGATTTAAAAAATTCTTTCTACCTTTTCTTCTCATGTTAGTTTGTGTATCAGTTGCATATTCTGGGCTTGGTCACCTGTTAGTCTCTCATGGAGAAAGGGGTACATTATAATAAATGTGATTTAGAAAACATGTTAACAAACTTTTGGTTGGTAGGACAAATCAAGAGTTATTCTTTAGTCATCTCTTGAAATAATGCTCAACATTTTAAATTTAAAAAAATGTAAAGAAATGTTTATTAGACACGTTGAAAGTGTTTTAGTTGGCCGCTGGCAGAAACTCTGAAGATAAGAAACATAGATCAGACAGTGAATTATATCTTGTTTTAAAAGTTCATTCTCATTAAAAAGGTTTTAATGTTTTATTTTAATCTATAGCAGGAATTTACCATTTCAACACAGGAGAAGATAGAGGTATTTAACACTGATATATAATCTTTTGTGTTTTGTGATTATTAGTACAGCCTCTTTTGTGAAATTGTTCAAACTTCTATTCATCCTTCAAAACAGCTCAGATGTTACCTCTGAAGCATTCTCTTCACCTAGGGAATGTTGTTTCCTTAGCACTTTTTAGTGTTCCTCTATGTAAGGCACTGAACACATTCAATTTATGTTTACCCATTTTTTGCTCAAGACTGAGTTCCTCAAGGGTAAAAACTAGATATTTTTGAATGAATTAATGAACAGAACTTTCTCTGTTTCTCCTATCATGATTTAAAATTTATATTTCCTCATCTTAAGCACGACTGTTAGAGATACAGGATCATATAATTTATGCGACATTGAAAAATGAATAAAAAAGTTTACTTTTTGTACCTCTTTTACCTCATCATTCCTTGAGCTGAATTGATATTGATCTTCTAAATATGGTAGGCCCCCAAATATTTATTAAAGAGAAATGAGATTTATCTACAATATAAAATAGGAGTAATATTCATTTCACCTACTTCTGAGAATGTTAGCATCAGATAAAATACTTTAACTGTGAAATACTAATTTATAAGTTTTCATTATATTTAGAGTATTCCTGTACAAAGCGTTAAATAATTTACATGGTTATTAAACAAAAGCTTCCTGCCCCCTTCCTTTTCATTTTTCCTTTCCATTTTCCCTTTCCTAGAAGCAATTACTTTTACCTCTTTTAGATGATTATTGTGATCTTTACTCTGTAGTCTCTAAATAACTCATAGTGGTTAGGAGCATGGACTCTGGAATTAAATTGCTTAAGTTTGTCATTTACTAGTTTTATGTAATGCTACTTAACCCCTCTGTCTCAGTTTGTTCATTTAAAAAAATCGGGATTAATAGTACGGACCTTATCGGTTTGTTACAAGAATTAAGGGAATTTGGAAAGCCCTTAGAACTGTGTCTAATTTATATGTCCTATATAAATATATGTTAAATGAGATATGTATTGCTTTTGTTTTTGGCTTTATTAACTTCCTGGATATAAAGTAAAGATTTAACTGTTGTCATCATCTACTCCTGTACAATGTCCTGCACTTGCCTCCCTTCTCCCATCCCACAGCTATCTAGTAAACATAGTATACTACTATATGTGGTATATACATATTTCTGTATACTATTTAGCATGTAAAATGTTAGTGAGTTGTTCCCCCTGCATCACCAAGTTTTCATTTATTAGCATAATCTGTTTCCTTCAAGTTGCGTCTTGTCCCATTTTTGTGTGTTTTGGGTTTTACCTCTTGTGATAAAGTCTTTTCTCAGGTATCTGGTGATTCTTGGTTGTCTGCTTGCACTTAAATGCATAAAGAACTGATAAATTCAACTTGTTGACTGTTGCCATAGATAGGTTGATCTGGCTGGAGTTCATTGTCATCCAGTTCCATCCCTTGCACACCTTCTCATTTTCTGTATAGTTATTAGTAATTCAACTTTTCATCAAATATCTCTCAAGATGTTCAGATATATCAGGTATGGTTATCAATTTTGTCCTCCTGAGAAAGTTTCTCTTTTATCCCTCAGACTTCCATTGTGGACTGATTGCCCTCTACACTTGGTACACAAGTTTTATCATGGTAATCTCTTCATTTTCTCCTGTGGTTAGATCATTTTCCAGCGACAGATGTCATGTTTATTCTTGGTTTGCTTGATGTTTTAAAATCATTTTAGTTTGCCCTGGCACTTGTTTGATTGTATTGTTTTACAATTTTGCTCTCTTGCTTTTTAGTTTACATATTGCTTTTGATAAGTTGGAAGCTGTTCTGATTCCTTGTATATTGTGTGTGATCTGTATGTATGTGGTTTTTTATTTTACCCTTGTTTACTCTCTTTTTCTTTCTGTGTTCTCACTTTTTAAATTTCTGAAAATTCTTAAGATTATATTTGTTTCCAGTGTTCTGAAATTTTACAGTGAAAGGGTCCTACCTAGTGTTGGGTCTGTTTTCATACATGGTGCTGAGTATTTGACATGACCTTTCAGCCTGTAAGCATCTTTTAATCCTGAGATTATTTTTTGAAGGAGGTTGTTGATTCTTTCCATTTTCCCCCTTTTTCCCCCTTTCTCAAACTCCTTTTATTGGGATAATAAATCTTCATGACCAGTCTTCTACTTTTCTCATATTTTCTTTTCGAAATCTTTTTTTTTGCTGTACTTCTATAGAGCTTTCAT